ACAATCCTATCAACCATACTCCTATCAACCATACACCTATCAACCATACACCTATCAACCATACACCTATCAACCATACACCTATCAACCATACACCTATCAACCATACACCTATCAACCGCACGCCCGTTGACATTGTCAGTGATGGTGTCAGTGACGGAAATGATTTTCTTGACAATGTTATTTTCTTGGTAAATGATGACTCGACTAGCTACCAAGACTATCCTCATAGTACGATTAAGCCCAGGAATTCTGGCTTTTCAGATGATAGAGTCTTGAGCGAAAGTGTCACGCTAGCGGACCGCTCTAGCGGATCAGCGAATGACGCTGGATATAGCGCTAGCGCTTCTATCGACGATGAATCATCAAAATCTAAGTCGGACCCAGGTGTGAAGCCCTTACCGAGAAGCGCTCATACCCCTGGGCTCTGCTGGGTGTGTCGCCGCCCATTTCAGCTTTCTACTGAGTTCCAAGACAATTGGAAGTGCTTCCATCAACCCGTTGTCAGCAACGACAGTGAACTTCCGCCACCGAAGAGGTTTACCGCAGAGGATCAGCCCGCCATGCATGCTTGCTGTTGGGAAATCACTTGCAAGGTCTTTGAGTGTTCAAGTCTGAACATGGCTCGTCGCGAAGATTTGATCCGCTGTCTCTATTACATGAGCAACTTTGCTGAAATTACTCCTTTTGACTCCGAGACTAATGCTCTTGATTTGGAGCTATTCACTGATCCAGACTCTGTACCTTCTCCACCGGAAGAAGAGAATTCTCAACTTGAAGTTCTTCTTTCTGAAGTTCTAGGGTTGCTCCATGAAAAGGATGGCCCAATTGGAATCGATAAGCTACAGAAAATCGACCCATGCTTAGCGCAGTGGATGAAAATGGCAAATTCGTATTCTATCAGGATGAGCCGGTGTCCAAATGTGAGACTTCTCTTGCAACGCGTGGTGAAAAATCTCAGGCAAAGTGATGCCTCTCGATTTCCGAAGGCATACAACTTCCGCGTGGCATGGTACAATGTCCAAGGGGTGATTGATGCCATGGAAAACATACCTCAGCCTAGGATGATCTTGCTCGATTCTCGAATGAAGGGTCGGGGACAATACGCCAGATATCGCGTGTGTGTAGAGAAATGCCGTCGATTCTCGTTCTTCTTCTACCCTTGTAATGAATCTCGACTCTATCGCTTGACTGGGATAGTGTGTGATGGGAATCCCATTGGATCTTGTCCAATTGCGAACCCTCTTGCGCGTGCGGTCCATCTTCCAGTTCAAGGTATGCAAGTTCCCCCGCTTCGAGGCTTACGCCTTGCCCAAACATCCACCGGACAGATAACTGCTCTGCAGTTCAAACACGGTGGTAAGTGGGACCACATATGGAATGGAGAGCCCGAGCATGCCTGCGATGACGTACAAATTGATTGGAATGGGTCAGCACAGGACCTTGTGTTCCATTACGACGTGAGTCACCGCACTTCAGACCCGTCATGAATCACACTAACGAGCCTAGACGCTTCGAAAAGACATCAAAAAGGTTGTCCCAAGGTTGCAGTTGAAATGACGTTCCCAATAAGTGAAATGTCTATTCAAGCTCTACCTGCACATGCGTGTTTTCCGAAATCTGGTTAACTTTGATCTGTGCCGTATTGAACTGACACCAATGAGGCACTTACGGTGGTGTTGGTCTTGAGTCAGGCGTTCCAAACTTTATTTCAGCAGTATGTTCTTGACAGCCGGTCCGCGAGCGAAGACCTGAAAATTCGAGCATGAAGCAGGGAAAGAATAAAGAGGGGAAACACCACGGTATAGGGGCTCTTAGGTGTATTACGCTGTGATTCAAAGTCGTCTCACGAGAAAATATCCGTCATCCTATCAGATGGACAACCTTGCCCCACCCCCCCAAGAAATTGGAAGAACTGACTCTGGATGTAAGTCAAATCCAGAAGCCAACAGAGCTTGGTGGATCCAGTGGCTGACATGCCCGTTGTCACTAGCGACCAAGAAGCCAATGGAAAGCCAAATGGAAATAGGCAGTCGAGGGATGGGATTGGATTGAGCAGACAGCCATCTTTCACTCGTACCTCTATGCCAGCGATGGTTTTTTATTCTCTAATCTCACCTGTCGACAAGGTACTCTAGGGTGGGTGGGAAAACATGTCGGCAATTGGCATATGAGGAGTTCACATACTAGATCCTTTTAGAGATAAAGAACCCTGAGTATCCACATGGTGTAGTCAAATGAATATACGGATATTCAACATTGATGCAAGACCCGCAGCTCTGCAATATGGCGAGGTAAACAGCAGAGATGTAGCTACTCTACACAGAATGGGTCTTCTTGGGTAAGAATCTTGAGGCGTCATTTATTAGTCCTGTGAGAAATAATCGTGGCAGTGGGTCCGGTCGTTAGCATGCGAAAAGCATGGCAAGTTTGCCTGTGCGGTACCAGCCAGTCCTTACGCAGGGTCATTTCCTTGCATAGGCAGAATCAATAATGGACGGCAGCCTCTGTTCCCTATCCCTTTAGTTCTATGGTTACATTTATTAGGGAGATGTTGGAAACTCTGTTCTCTGCAGCGGCCTACAGCTCAAACGTTTAAAGCGGCAGGGGTGCTGTTCATTTAGGTATACACAGTAATAGGCTAAGCCGGTAAAGAATTAAACGTTATTTTATCTTTCTCTATATCGACTGTACCTAGGCCTATACTCTCCTAAGGGTAGGTCTCTTATAATAAATTGCAGAAGTTAGCTGCAGTTCGTATAACTATAGTAGAATATCACAAAATAAATAGGCGATAGAAGATAAGTTTATTCTAAACGCCTAGGGCCAAATAGATTATATTAGTAGTATAGCGAAATCGGTCGACTTAATGAGACCTTATAAAGCTATAATTGACTCTGGGTTTCTCCGAGATATAACCCTAATCTTAATACTAGTATATAAAGTTAATACAGTTAGTAAGTTTTTAGATCCTTAGGTATAAAATTTCTGACTAGTGACTATAGAGTATCGATTCTCTATATATCCGAAATATAGCTAATAGGAAGAAACCTTATAGTAATTTTATAAGTTTACCTACTATTTGTCTTCGGTAACTAACTGTACTAACTTGAGTATAGTCAAGTTTTCCCTAAGGGGAAATTGTACTAAACGCCTTACTCTATAAGGTAGAAAGCTAGGATAACTAGTCGGACAGCCTATAGCTAGAGGTTGATATATAGGGATCTACCTATCTAGTATATATATAAAATGTATACTATATAGCTAGAACCTAATCCTCTAAAGGTATAAGTATTTAAATTAATAATCTTACTAATAATTTACTAATAATATACTAACCATAGTAGGAGCTCTATAGGGTATAGAATTTACCTATAAAGGAGAGTACTAGGTTAAATATACTTTCTAGACTTCTAAATCAAGGTATTATTAGCTATATAGGGTATCTAGAAATAAATATACTTTATCTAATAGTATAAATCTACCCTTTATTAAACTAATAAAGGTATAGCTCTATATCTATACTATCTATTCGGCCGGTTTCTAATAAATGATTATACTAACTTAAGAAATATTAAATATATCTAGATAAGTAATTTAAATAAGATATACTAGGGCCTAGATCTCTAGAAATATAGAATAGGGTAGAACTTAGTAGGGATTCCTTTAACTTAGGCGTCTATCATAAGCCTACTTTACCCTAAATAGTTAACTTATATAGACTATCTATAGAAAATAGGTAAAGAGGATAAAGTATTATTAGCTATATCTAGGATTCTTATAATTTCATCTTCTTATATAACTGAACTTAGTATATAAGAAGTCTAAAATAACTAAGAAAAAGCTTATACTAGGAGGGGTAGTACCCCTAACTATAAGTTATAGAAGTATAGAATAATAAAGGACCCTCTTTATACTATAGTATCTCTACTTATACCCTTTATAGGATTATACTTATTAGAGTATAAGACTACTTTATATCTATAAATAGATCGATTTACTGTCTATTATACTAAATATATTCTAGTTAGCTAAGGATATATATCTATTTAAGGGATACCTCCTTTATTAAACTAATATTAACTAATTAAAATAAGAAAGTACTAGTATTATTAAGTTACTATAACTCCTTATTTTATACTAGGTATAGAGATATTATTAGGAAAGATAACAATTCTTTTCTTTATAAGGATAGGATTTATAAAAAAAAACCTATTATACTACCTTATCTTAAGTAAACTTTTAAGATAGGCTTAATATTTTAGCTAATATTATTTAGTATATAGGTACTATTAGTAATTCTACTAGATTATATACTTTAACTAATATATAGTAATAGGTATTCTACCTAGTTAACCCTTTTGTAATAAGCCCTAATATAGCTAGTAGGGTATCTCTCTAGGATTTTATTATATTTAGGATAGTCTAATCAGTTATTATATAGAGTCTAGTATAATATATAAAAACTAGGTATAGTAGGATAAAGTCCTACTATCTAAGGGCTATATCCTTATTTAGCCCTCTTAATACCTCTTTAAGAGGAAAATAGGGCTATCGATCAGTGCTTAAGAGGTAGTAGAAGATATAGATTAGAGGAATAATATTTGAGTATATAAATTACGGTCCTATATTAGCGCTTAAAGTAGCTAATATAAATATTAGCTTCCTAAATGACTATATAAGTAAGAACTCTAATAAGGACTAGCTAAGGCTACCTATATCTATTAAATCTAAGGGACTAAGAGAGATATATATAGGTATTAGCTAAAGTACTTTACCTAACTAGTTATACTTAGCTTATATAAGAGCGGTATAATAAATATACTTTACTAGAGATATATAGGTAAATACTGTTCGATTACTAAAGTTAATCCCTAGACTTAAGTAGTACCTACCTATAGTTAGAGATAGGTATATATATTAGAGGTAGGGTATATAAGGGTAGATTATAATATACTCTAATTACTAAGTTAGGATTAGTTTTACTAGTTATAATCGTTAGCTAATTAAAGTTCCCAGTCCCTAGCTAGGCTATAAACTAATCTAGCTTCCCTTAAAAGAGAATAATTTTAAGGAGTAAGTTATATATAACCGCCGGTACTATAGAGCCTATCCCTTATATAATAGTAAAAGGTCGGCTTTAAGATATATATATCTAAGTACCTTAGATTAGCTATATCTAATATAAGTATCCGGCCCTTAAGTAGAGACTACCTAGCTATACTAATTAAGGCTAAGCTAGAGCTAATAGCCTAGCGATTAAGTCTATAAATAATTGCCTATTATAGTTATAACTCTTACCTTATACTATAGAGGAGTATTAATATACCGCTATAAGTTTTATATATAGCTAGTAGCCATAGAAATATAGAGGATTAGATTACTTCTATAATAATAGATAAGGTATTAGGTTTAGCTTAAACTATATTATAAGATTAAGATAATATAGAGTAGGCTTTAAGGTACCTTATATCTATGGCTACCTAATCTTCGCCCTTTATTAGCCCCTTTCTCCCTACTATATATAATATCTAGCTTTACTTATAGCGCTATTACTTATTCTTTTAAGATATCTATTTTCTAGTAGTATTTTATAATAGCCTCTATCTACTATTATATACTATTGTTCTAGTTATCTTACTACTTAATCTACTTATCTATCTCCCTAGGTACCTATAGTTAGAATAACCTATTAATCTTATCTCAGAGATAGGTTAGAAAAATAACCTACTATACTTAACTATCTAATCTACTCAATTCTTAGTAAGAAAAATATTAGGAGTAAGATTAATATTACCTACTATTATAAAAATATATTAGCTAGTACTATAGATACTTTAGGAGAATTGTACTCTAGGTTATCTAAGTTAGGTAAAGCTAAACTTAGAGATCCCTTAGCCTAATTATAGTATTAGCGGTTAACCTTATTCCCTGTTATATTAATAGCTTTATTATCTAGTAGTTAGTTGGTATATTTAAAGGGACAATTATTATTAGAAAGACTATATATAAGGGAAGCCTACTATAGTTATAACCTAAGCTTCTTATACTACCTAGCTGTAAATTTAGTAGAAGCTAGACTAGGCTTATAGTTAGGTAGAGGTACTATAGAAATAGAAGTATATAGTGGTATATATTCTAGGATACCTACTTAGGAGGGTAAATTCTAATATATACCTAGATATAGTAGTAATAAATATATTATATACCTTAGAAATCTAAGGCCTCTAAGAATACCTTCTTAATTAATCTAGGCTAAGCCTCTAGAGAGCTAGGTTAATAACTTAGGGGTTACCTTTTAGACTATAGAGTAGGTATATCTACCTAAATAGCTCTTTAGATAGAGTAGGAACCTAGTTTAGCCTTTATTAGCCTAGCCTTAGTTAGGTAGGAGGTTTATCTTTATAATACTCACTTTATATATATTCTATAGATATTTAAGGGTATTTAAGATCGCCCTTTATATAAAGATATAATATAATATCTAGTACTACTTTTACTAGCCCTAATAGGAGCTAGGGTACTACTGTACCTAAATATAAATAGGTTTTTAAATAGAT